TTTTATACTTATTGCGTTTATTATCCTATTAGGTATTTAGAAAATGCATATATGCCTAGGTCTAAATGTACCAGAGAGGTAAATTAATTAAATTTGAGTAGTGTGCATATTTATTTAAACACTTGAAAAAGTTCTTCGTACGTACTCGAATTTCTGTAAGTAACTACTTGTGTTTATGTTTTGCTTGCGATAATATAATCACTTTGAAGTGCGTTGCGGACTTGTTTGTGTATGCTAAAACAGATAAACCTTAATAGTGAAAACGACAGCGAAGCTTTAACAAGTGTATTAATACTGGCTTTGTAAATTAATAATTTTATAGAAAACATGGCAAAATCTAAAGAAATTTCGATTGATAAGAGAAGTGCTATCGTAACTTTATACAAAGAAGGTCAGTCATATAGAATTATTGCAAAAAAATGAAAGTGTCGCTGAAGGGTGTCCAAACTACCATAGCGCGCTACAAGACATCCGATAGTCTGGTTGACCGTACTCGCTCAGGACGCCCAAAAGTAACCACTTCTCAAGAGGATCAGTATATGGTGGTTACAAGCAAGCGAAATAGACGATTAACAGCATCTGAAATCCGTGCAGAAGTGAACAGAAGCCGTGATAATGCGGTCTCTCTCACTACAGTAAAACGACGTTTGAGAAATGCAGGCCTCAAAGGCCGTGTGGCAGTCAAAAAACCTTTACTGCGTCCTATAAATAAAAAGAAACGTCTACAATGGGCCCAGCAGCATCGAAATTGGACATTGGAACAATGGAAAAATGTTCTATAGACTGATGAATCAAAGTTTGAACTTTTTGGCACCCGTAGGCGAATTTACGTGAGAAGAAGCAGTACAGAAAAAATGGCACCACAATGCATAATGCCCACAGTAAAACATGGGGGTGGTTTCATTATGGTGTGGGGATATTTTTCGGGACATGGCACTGGAGATCTTGTAAAAATTGAAGGTATTATGAAAAAGGAAGACTATAAACGGATTCTGCAGACGCACGCGATACCCTCCGGTCTTAGAAAAATCGGCCGAGGATTCATTCTGCAACAGGATAACGATCCAAAGCATAGCTCACGTCTTTGTCGAGGGTTTGTTGAAGGAAAAGAAGCAAATAGCACTCTTTCGAACATGGTCTGGCCACCGCAATCACCAGATCTTAATCCTATCGAATTATTGTGGGAGGAGCTTGATAGAAAAGTCCGCCTGGTGTGTCCATCGTCAGCTCCTGAATTTTGGCGGATGTTACAAGATTCCTGGACATCCCTGTCACAAGAAACACTAAATAAACTTGTCGCCAGAATGCCACGACTTGTAAATGCGGTCTTGAAAGCTAAGGGTTTTTTTCGACGTTTAAGATTTATGTTTAGAAAAAGTGTAAGATTTTATGTTAAACTGTAAATATTTTTTCTTTTATTAATTTAGTTAATAATTTCAGATTATTTTGAATTTTAATATAACAACTTTTTCTAATAAAATATTTTTTTTATAATAATTTATCACATTTTTGTTAAGTGTATCCAAACTTTTGGCCTGGAGTGTACATATATACATATATTTTATAAATTATTATATATAGCTATTTGTGAAAAAAATTCAAAATCAATTTGTCAAATTTTTTAATTAGACATTTCGAATTTGTTTTCGTAGCATACGTTTCGAACAGTTTCTTTAAATTTTTTTTGTATAAATTATTCTTATGTAAAATACAGTTAAATTACGCACCTCTGTTGTCTCCGATAATCCAATTTTGGAAATAGTAGATATGTCGTTGTGAGATAAAAAAGTTTATTTACTGATCTGAGTTTTAATTTTTCCAAGTCTGGCATTTGTGTTAACC